CACGCTAACACCGTTAATTTCAAGAGACGATCAACGCTGGATGGGTGCTTGGTGGGTTGGTTGGCTATTGATTGGTGTATTGATGTTTATTTTCTCTGGCGTAATTGGTTTATTTCCAAAAAGTCTGAAGAAAGAAAAAACGGTGGAAAAACATGAAATGGACGAAGAAAAATGTGAGTCGGAACAAAAAACTGAAGAGATTGAAAACGGTAAACTGAAAGGTATAAAAAAAAATGAATTAAAAAAGAAAAATTGAGAAAAGGAAAAAATCTATGTTCCATTTTTGTTTTCATATTCAGATTTTCCAAAAGCGATATGGCGATTATTAACGAATAAGTTACTGATGTTAAACTGTTTCGCTATTACATTTTATACAATTTCTTTTTCTGGTCCCATGACATTCATGGGTCGAATAATGGAAGTTCAATTTAATAAAACGTCAGCCGGAGGAAGTGCTTTTACTGGACCAATCAACATGTTTGGGTTGGCGGCGGGCATTTTATTGAGTGGTTATATTATTAAAAAATATCAACCATCACCGAAGTACTTATTTCTTTGGAATTTTGTTATTGGTTTAGTCACAGTGTTTTGTATATTATCATATACCCAACTGGGATGTGACAACAGTCAATCATTGACGGTCGATCAATCGATGGTTTCATGTAATGCGAACTGTGTTTGTGAAGGAATTTCTTACACTCCTCTATGTGACCATTCAACAAGTACAACATATTTTTCACCGTGTCATGCTGGATGCAAGACGTTCGATGAAAAGTTAAACGCTTACAACAATTGCTCGTGTACTGAAGGCCCATCAAGTGAAATTCAAGTGGAGCACCATGTTTCATCTGGTGCATGCATTGGAGATTGCAATTTTGACTTCTATGCATACACACTAATTTCATTGTTATCAGGCTTTTTCCTTATTACTGGTTTTATGTCAGTCATATTAGTTGGTTTACGGTAATTGATTTTATGACAAAAAAAAATTATAATAGCTATTGAGTGATTTTATAATATTTGCAGATCAGTGGAACCACGAGACAAAGCATTGGGCCAAGGCTTCTCGCTATTTATAACTAGTTTATTTGCTTTAATTCCGGCACCCATCATTTTTGGTCGCATTATCGATTCCACTTGTTTAATTTGGAACCATAAGTGTGGACGGCAAGGCAATTGCCTCTTGTATGACTCAATCAAATTTCGATATTATATTCATACCGCTTCAGCCATTTCCCTCGCGATTGGCGCTTGTTTTCAGTTCATGATTTGGTACTATGGCAGAGATATTGATTTATACGGCGATTCAAATAATGATAAACAAAAATGTGTCAAAGTAGAAGACGACCCATCCGAAATTGAGCCACTTAATACAAATTATTAACTTTTTATTTAATCAATAAAAATTACTTAACCAGATTGTTTGTAGATTTTAAAATGTTTCCAAGAAGAAAATATATTTTCAAGAAATGTTTGGGCGTTCATAATAATGTACAAACATCCGAAATTAATAACAAAACAGAAAAAATAACAGTCGCAAAGCACAAATTCTTCATATGCTTTAGCATTGTGACGTCATGGGTGAACTATGACAACAATGCTATGTATGACGCTAAGGTTCACTTCAAGGTAAGCGCATGCGAAAGCTGTTTACATCTAAAGAAATGTGGTTAGTTTTGACAACATTTTTATTATATCAAACGAAAATTATCAATCCTTTTTATCTTATCAAAATATTGTCCGCGTGAAATACAATATGTCCAACAAATATGTTATTTTAAAACCCTTTCCAAATGTTGATTGTCCATCTATATGATTGAACATTGACTGGTTGTCATTTAAAAACTCCAATAAAGTAGTCCTCGGCGATTTAGAACATTTTCGAAGCCAGATAATCATGCAATGGATGGAAGCAAACGAATTTCTTTGTTCCAACGTGAGCACCACTAACAATAGGAAAGTGATAATGCTTTCACAGTGTGTAATCATGTATCGTCTTTGTAATCGTAAAAATGCCTGATTAAGTTTGATAACCGATTGTTTGAAATAGATTGCAACATATTTGAAGAAATTTATATCAACGGAGAATTGAATAATAATAATAATTGTAATACAACAAAAATTCTATGTAAAAAAACTCTGTGTCTCACTTTTATAGACTCTACGTACAAGTCGGATTTTTATTCTGACCCGTTCAATTGGTGTATTTTGTATAAATCAATACAAAAGTGTCATCAGTTTTTCATCAGTATTATTTTTCCTTCTTCTAATTGTCGAAATAAATTAGTTCAAATTCTAAATTTTAAACATAGAAAAAATATCAATGAAAACACTCATCCAAATAATAATTAGGTGAGATTTTGAAATGCAATGATTGCATTTATCAAAATGAACAATATACTGATCTAAACAACTAATATTTATAGACGATTATCACAATCAAATAACTAGAGAGGATAGTTTGAAAAAGTGTCTTTATTGAATTTTCTTTTTCATTTGAAACGAAACCCTGTATAAGATGGACGGTTGTGGAATTTCTTGCTGGCACCCACAGTGGATACAGAAATTTGCAAAAACAAGTTGGTAATGGATTCATACACAAGTTCACCCATTCAAATTTATTCATAATACACTTTTTTATAATAGGTTTATTGTTGTTTATTCGCTGCTCGGGACAATTCAATCGGCTGGTACTACGTACTTTAATATCACATTAACTACAATTGAAAAACGCTTCAAAATTCCTAGCCAAACAACAGGTGAATTGCAGCTATTTGAGATCGGCTTGTATGCCCAATTGAATAGAAAAAAGATCACGCCGTAACGGCATTATCGTTTCTATATTATATAAGTACGAACTTGAGTAATCAGTGATTACTAATCAAGTAATCACTATGAAATCGTTGGTTTTTCTACTTAATTATTGTACAGACTGCACATTATTATCACGATGCTTTGCACTTACTTCAAATATACTTTTATTTCATATATATTTATAGGAATTATAATCAGTGGCAACGAGATATCGCAGATTTTATTGTCATTGATTTTAACGTATTTTGGTGGTCAAAAAAATACTCCAAAATGGATGTCATGGGGTATTGCTCTAAGCGCGTTATCATGTTTCATATTGGCGTCGCCCCACTTCATTTATGGTGCTGGCGAAGAAGCACTACAATACACACAAGAATACTCATCATGGAATCAGGTAACATCAAGACAATTTCGAATAAATCTGTGATAATTTTGTTCTAATTTCTACATATAATACAGAATATTTCGTCAGAGATCGGTTTGAATTCGAAAAATCTCAAAAATAAAATATGCCAAAAATCCGCCATATTTGGTGACGAATGCGATGAGATATTTTCTTATATACCTCTATTCCTGATATTTTTATCGCAATTCGTGCTCGGAATTGGCAACACACTTTACTATTCACTCGGAACAACATACATCGATGATAACACAAATCAACGTAACTCTCCGTTAATGTTGTCTTATGCATCTGCAATGCGTATTTTCGGTCCAGCGTTCGGATACGGATTCAGTTACATAATATTAAAGCGATTTTATATTGCTCTCACGCTAACACCGTTAATTTCAAGAGACGATCAACGCTGGATGGGTGCTTGGTGGGTTGGTTGGCTATTGATTGGTGTATTGATGTTTATTTTCTCTGGCGTAATTGGTTTATTTCCAAAAAGTCTGAAGAAAGAAAAAACGGTGGAAAAACATGAAATGGACGAAGAAAAATGTGAGTCGGAACAAAAAACTGAAGAGATTGAAAACGGTAAACTGAAAGGTATAAAAAAAAATGAATTAAAAAAGAAAAATTGAGAAAAGGAAAAAATCTATGTTCCATTTTTGTTTTCATATTCAGATTTTCCAAAAGCGATATGGCGATTATTAACGAATAAGTTACTGATGTTAAACTGTTTCGCTATTACATTTTATACAATTTCTTTTTCTGGTCCCATGACATTCATGGGTCGAATAATGGAAGTTCAATTTAATAAAACGTCAGCCGGAGGAAGTGCTTTTACTGGACCAATCAACATGTTTGGGTTGGCGGCGGGCATTTTATTGAGTGGTTATATTATTAAAAAATATCAACCATCACCGAAGTACTTATTTCTTTGGAATTTTGTTATTGGTTTAGTCACAGTGTTTTGTATATTATCATATACCCAACTGGGATGTGACAACAGTCAATCATTGACGGTCGATCAATCGATGGTTTCATGTAATGCGAACTGTGTTTGTGAAGGAATTTCTTACACTCCTCTATGTGACCATTCAACAAGTACAACATATTTTTCACCGTGTCATGCTGGATGCAAGACGTTCGATGAAAAGTTAAACGCTTACAACAATTGCTCGTGTACTGAAGGCCCATCAAGTGAAATTCAAGTGGAGCACCATGTTTCATCTGGTGCATGCATTGGAGATTGCAATTTTGACTTCTATGCATACACACTAATTTCATTGTTATCAGGCTTTTTCCTTATTACTGGTTTTATGTCAGTCATATTAGTTGGTTTACGGTAATTGATTTTATGACAAAAAAAAATTATAATAGCTATTGAGTGATTTTATAATATTTGCAGATCAGTGGAACCACGAGACAAAGCATTGGGCCAAGGCTTCTCGCTATTTATAACTAGTTTATTTGCTTTAATTCCGGCACCCATCATTTTTGGTCGCATTATCGATTCCACTTGTTTAATTTGGAACCATAAGTGTGGACGGCAAGGCAATTGCCTCTTGTATGACTCAATCAAATTTCGATATTATATTCATACCGCTTCAGCCATTTCCCTCGCGATTGGCGCTTGTTTTCAGTTCATGATTTGGTACTATGGCAGAGATATTGATTTATACGGCGATTCAAATAATGATAAACAAAAATGTGTCAAAGTAGAAGACGACCCATCCGAAATTGAGCCACTTAATACAAATTATTAACTTTTTATTTAATCAATAAAAATTACTTAACCAGATTGTTTGTAGATTTTAAAATGTTTCCAAGAAGAAAATATATTTTCAAGAAATGTTTGGGCGTTCATAATAATGTACAAACATCCGAAATTAATAACAAAACAGAAAAAATAACAGTCGCAAAGCACAAATTCTTCATATGCTTTAGCATTGTGACGTCATGGGTGAACTATGACAACAATGCTATGTATGACGCTAAGGTTCACTTCAAGGTAAGCGCATGCGAAAGCTGTTTACATCTAAAGAAATGTGGTTAGTTTTGACAACATTTTTATTATATCAAACGAAAATTATCAATCCTTTTTATCTTATCAAAATATTGTCCGCGTGAAATACAATATGTCCAACAAATATGTTATTTTAAAACCCTTTCCAAATGTTGATTGTCCATCTATATGATTGAACATTGACTGGTTGTCATTTAAAAACTCCAATAAAGTAGTCCTCGGCGATTT